TGAAAAGATGCTTCACATCATAAGTCAGTAGAGAAATAAAAATTAAAATGACAATGAGACGCCACTGTGTATTTAATAAAATGGCCAAAATCTGGAACCCTGACAACAGCAAATACTGGTGAGACTGAAGCAACAGGAACTCCTTCATCACTGCCTGATGGGGTGTGAAATGGCACGGCCACCTTGGAAGACAGTTTGGCAGTTTCTTATAAAACTAAATGTATTCATTTTCGCCCACAATAACTCTGTTTTAAGTGACTTTTCCCTCCAGTTGTTTTTACTGTGGTAAAATACACATCTTACCAAATGTGCTCTCTTAAACATTGATGTGCACATGTGTGTGTGCTAAGTTGCTTCGGTTGTGTCTGACTCTCTGCAACGCTATGGACTGTAGCCCTCCAGAATCCTCCATCCATGGAATTCTCCAGCCAAGAATACTGGAGTGAGTTGCCATGCCCTTCTCCAGGGGATCTTCTGGACGTACAGTCCAGTGATACTAAATGCATTAACAATGTTGTCCAACCATCACCATTATCCATCTTCATAACCCCCTTATACCATCTCATAACTCCACCTCCTTCATCTTATAAAACTGAAACTCTATACAATTTATTAATGACTTTCTGATGCCCCTCTCCCTAGCCCTTGTCAACCCTCATTCTACATTCTCTTTCTATGATTTTAACCCCCTAAGTATCTCATAAAAGTAGAATCATATATATCTGTCTTTTTGTGACTGACACTCATTTAGTATAATGTCCTTAAGATTCATCTAAGTTGTAGCATATGTGAGAATTCTTTTGAAGGCAGCATAATATTCCATCCAAAGTATAAGCCATTTAAACTAAACTTACTATTACCGCATGATTCAGCAATTGTGCTCCTTGGTATTTATCTAAATGAGTTGAAAACTTATGTCCACACAAAAACCTGCTCACACATGTTTATGGCAGCTTTATGTAGAATTGTCAAAACTTGGAAGCAGGCAAGATGTCCTTCAATAGGTGAATGGATAAATAAACTGTGATATATAATGGAATATTATTCAGCAATAAAAAGGAATGAGCTGTCATGAAAAGACATGGAGAAACATTCAATGCATATTACTACATGGAAGAAGCCGATCCTTAAGAAGTTACATACTGTCTGATTCCAACTGTATTATTACTGAAAGGCGTAGGGTCCGGCTGTTTGGTGCTCAAAAGCCAGTGAACAGGCAGTGCTGGTGGCAAGTTTGCTTTGCTTCAGACGCTGGCAGCTGGGGAGGAAGGGCTCCCAAAGTCTGTCCAAAGGCTGACTGCCCGCAACCGACAAGCAGGGGCTAAGAACCATTACAGGCTGACAGAGGGGCTACCTGCAGAAGCAGCAGTCAGCTCTGATAGTCACCCTGAAGTCGGCCATGTGCTGGTCTGACAAGTGTCATCTTGATTGTTTCAGGTTCAGTAAATCTTCAATTCCAGGGTCAGTTTCTTTTCGATTCCTTGAGGCCAGTTCTTGGAATTGTGGCTGCTTCTGTCATGGCTCCAGTCTGGTCATCGTGCAGTCAACTTCTTCCACCCGTGGGGGCTTCAGCATCTATAAGACAGCTCACAGGCAATGGTTGAAAGTATTACCCACGGGACGGCCCTTGAGAGGAACTAAAGGTCCTTGGCTGTGGTTAATAACTACATTATTATTAGCATTTGATCTCCTTTGACTGTTTTCCTTTGTTTCTGCATTTCCTCATCTCTCTGGTTACACTAATCCTTTGACTGAAGTTTTCCACAGACAAAAGGCAAGCAGAAGACACGGTGGGGGGAAGTTCCGTAGTGACCTGCTGTGTTTCAATATGACTCACTGAAGAAGGCAAAACCGTGGAGACAGTAAGAGGATCAGGGGTTTCCAGGAGGGATCGGGGGAGTGACTAACCCATAGTGGGGGGCAGAGAATGAATAGTCATCCTATAAAATATACTGTATGAATGAAATTATATTTTTAAAATATAAAACCAGTATATGGATAGAACACTGCAGATGTCTGGATCTGAGGAAGCCAGATAGAAGGGCCTGATAGATATTCAGCCAACACAGGACCACTGGAATATGTGAATATTCTGCCTGGGGAACCCTCTGCCTGGGGAAAAGACAGAGGCACCCTAGCCAGCTGTGACAATTGTGCTTTCTGAGCAGATTTGTGACTCTCCGGGGTTTTGAAGACCTCAGTCTGGATCCATTTTGAGAGCTGCTGCTAACCTGCCAAGGGACAGTGACCCTGTCAACAGCTCTACGGGTTTCTAGTTCCATGTCGGAAATCAGATGATTGGCCCAGATGTTCTCTAAAACCCCTTGGTCTATAAGGTGGTGCTGCCGAGCCCAAGGGCTCGGTGCTGTGCAAGACTTAGGCCACTAGGGGGCACTGCCTCCTAGGAGGAAGCAGAAGTTGTTCCCTAACATCTTGCCTGTCTTGCACACATTGATTAAAAGCAGTTGTGATATATCATAGATCAATGAAACAGAATAGAGAGCCCAGAAATAAACCCACCCATTTATGGTCAACTAGTCTATGACACAGGAAGCTAGAATATACAACGGATAAAATACAATTTTTTCAATAAATGATGCTGGGGAAATTGGACAGCTACATGTAAAAGAATGAAATTGGAACATTTTCTCACACCATATACAAAAGTAAACTCAAAATGGATTAAAGACCTGAATGTAGGACTTCCCTGGTGGTCCAGTGGCTAAGACCCCAGGGGGCCTGGGTTTGATCCCTGGTCAGGGAACTAAATCCCACATGCTACAACTAAGACCTGGCCCAGCCAACTAAATAAAATAAATATCTCTTTTTTAAAAGATCTGAATGTAAGACTGGAAACTTTTAAACCCCTAGAAGAAAACATAGGTGGAACAGTCTTTGACATAAATCAGTGCAATCTTTTTTGGATCTGTCTCCTAAAACAAAGGAAAAAGGCAAAAAAAACACACAAAAAACAAATGGGACCTGATTAAGCTTAAAAACTTTTTCATAGCAAAGGAAACCATTGACAAACTGAAAGACAGCCTATTGAATGGGATAAAATATTTGCAAATAATAAGACTAATAAGGAATTGATATCCAAAATGTATATAAAGCTCATACAACTCAACATCAAAAAAAGAGAAACAAGCCAAATAAAAAATGGTCAGAAGATTTGAAGAGATATTCTCCCAAAGAAGACATGCATACAGATGGCCAGCAGGCACATGAAAAGATGCTCAGCATCCCTATTCACCAGAAAAATACAAATCAAAACCACAATGAGAATGTCAGAATGGCTATCATCAAAGAGAACACAAATAACAAATGTTGGTGAGGATGTGGAGAAAAGGGAGCCCTTGTACACTGTGGAAGAGAATATAAATTGGTTCAGCCACTGTAGAAAATGGTGTGAAGTTTTTGTAAAAAACTAAAAGTAGAACTACCATATGACCCAGCAATTCCATTCCTGAGTATCTGAAGAAAACAAAAACATTAATTTGAGAAGATATTGGGTTGACAAAAATGTTCGTTTGGATTTTCCTGTAAGATGTTACAGAAACCTGAATGAACTTTTTGCCCAGTCCAATATACGTACGGAATTCCCTGGCGGTCCAGGGGTTAGGACTCCCTAATGCTTCCATAGCAGGGGGAACAGGTTTGATCCCTGGCTGAGGAACAAAGATCCAAAAACCCATGAAGCGCGGCCAAAAAAAAAAAAAATCAAGATCCCCATGCACCCTAATGTTCACAGCAGCGCTGCTTACAACAGCTGAGATGTGGAGGCAAGCTAAGTACCCGTCAGCAGGTGAACAGATAAAAAAGATGTGAGATATACATATACATACACACACATGCATTCTAAAGAGTCCACCTGCAATGCGGCAGGCCTGGGTTCAATCACTGGGTTGGGACGAGTCCTTGGAGAAAGGCATGGCAACCCACTCCCGTATTCCTGCCTGGAGAATCCCCATGGACAGAGGAACCTAGTGGGCTACAGTCCATTGGGTCACAAAGAGTAGGACATGCCTGAGCGACTAAGCACAGCATAGTAACTGTAAGTGGAGTGTATCTAAAAATTGTAAATCAGTATGCTGTACACACAAGACTTATAAAATCTTGTAAATCAACCATACCTTAATTTTAAAAAATAAAAGTGGTTGCAATAATAAATCTGAGAAAGCCAGATTCAAGGGCTTAATAGATATCTGGCCAACATAGGACCACTGGAATATATGAAATATTTGGCCAACCTGCCTCCTGTAACCATAATCCCCTCCAGACCCATACCCTGGCCCCTTCACCCACATTTCAAATCACTTTTGCAACTGGCTGGACCAATGTTTGCCTGATTGGTTGTTGGTTCCCTTTTAACAGGCAAGTTGGAGCTGTTTCAGTTCCATAGATTTAATCTCCTGGTTTCTCCATTCTTACTAGTATGAGTGATCACAAAGAACATCCACTAAAGTATTTCTATTTTAATCACGCCTTACAGGCTTTCCATTGGTTTCGGTTCAATCTGCTTCACTTCAACACTGATCAGTGGCATGTGCTGCTGACCAGAGTCTAACAGCACATGGACCCATGGTTTCCGTGTGCAAGGAGCTCATAAAGAGTCCCCAAGAGAGATAAATGGAATGTACAGAGAACTGCTAACATAAATAGGAAGTGATGCATAGCAAAGGAATGATGCAAGTGCTGTGGAGCCTAGAGGAATGCAGATTTTCCACTTAATGTCGATGGCTCTGAATTTCTGCCTGTGCCCCCTTGGAGGTTAGGGTCTTCCCAGACCCCTCCCCTTCTCCACTGAGCCTGGGTTGAAAGAACATCCATGCTTCCCTCACCTTCTCTCCTCCTTATTCAGCTTTGCTTTTCCCTGTAGCACTAGCCTGACCCCCCCCCCCCAAATTCTGTTTCTGTGTGTCGGTATGTGTCCTGCCAACCTCCCCACAGTGGCCAGCACATTAGACGGAATTCACTGAGCCTCAGGCTGTGCTGCCAGGATGGGACGTGCCCAGATCGTTAGGATGGTGATTTTGGCAACAGAACTCAAGAGCCAGGAAAAAGAGAGTGCAGTCCACGCCCTTGAACTGGTCCTCACACCCTGGGAGTGGGACTCCTGTGGCCCTGGGGGTGGGGCCGGGTGGGAGGACGCTGCCTCCCCTTCGGAAGCCCTGTGTGGGGCCCACAGCTCGGCTCACACGGAGAGCCTGCGCAGTTCAGGGCCCTCTACTCCTTGCGGCCTTGCAGCCTGGCCGGAGCTCATGTCAGAGCAACTTTCGGAGCCCCCTCACAGGGCAGGGACCCTGCTGCATCCTCCGTGGACCCAGCCCTTTATTCCTCTGGGAGGTTTCTGAATGAGCTTGTTTCCTACAGACAGACAAGTGAAGCGAAGGAGTCACCTGTCTAGGACAGTAAGTAGCCGAGCCAGGACTGGAACCCAGGTCCTCAGATGGCAGAAACGCGCTCAGAACCCGTGGTGTGGGTGTGCCTCTGGGGCAGCACAGAGCCTGGGACAGCAGAGTGACTCATAGGGCCTTAGAGACACATAGCCATCGTATTGGCGACCATCCTAGAAACATGGCCATCATAATGTTTCACCTAGAACAAGGGTGTATGATTTTCCTGAAGTGGTCTCCCAAGTCCTTGGTTCAATTCAACAGAAGTGCATCAGTGAACTACTCTGCAAGCTTCTGATACTCATTTGCTCCTGAGAATGGGGGATGGTGAGTGAAGCCTGAGAAGTTGCCACGAAGCCTCCAGTGTGGAGCCATCAGAACTTGCAGGAGGGATCAGGTGCCCTGTAGAGATCCCAACCTGATCACTTATCACCTCTGTTGACTCTGAGGAAATCACCTAGCCTCTCTGAGCGTCAGCTGTCTCATTCATAACAATTATCAGGAGCCACGTAATAGCTGCTCAATATTGTCTTGGTGTGATTTACATTAGTAACAGTTGTAAGCACCTTGATGTCTAAGACTAATGACACTATGGACCATGGTCATTTTAGAACAGTCTAAAGCTGTTTAAAAGGACATGGAAAATGTGCCCCAAATGATACAGTTTAAAAAAAATCTAGATACAAAAACTCTATTGATAATTTGATTTTAAAGGTATCATGAAAGAAATAGTCCAAAATGTTAAATGTTTGTCTACAGGTGATAGGACACCAGGATGAATTTTTTTTCATTATATTTTCTTATATTTTCTGAATGTTCCACAAGGAGTTTTCATTGTTTTCACAATCAGACAAAATAGTGTTTATAAATGTGTTTCATTTTATACCTTATTGGTGAATTCTTTAACAGGAAGAGTAGGGTTAGAAGAGGGGGATATCAGAGAAAAAGGTGAAAGGGGAAGAGAGAGCTCAGTTCCTGTTGGCAATTATTGAGCATCTGCTGTGTACAGGCACTGTGTAGGGTGTGGATTATGATAGTTGAGTGAGATCTCAAAGAACAAGGTGTTGCTGGGCAGATAGGCAAGGAAATGGCATGTGCAAAGGCCCTGGGGTATGAAATAGGCATGGAGAACAGCTAGTGAGGCCTTTGAGGGGGAGGAGAGAGCATGGTTGTGAGATGGGCAGGCTGAAAATGCCATTGAGAGGGCCCTTTCAGCTGTATCAAGGGGTTCAGGCTGCATCCTGGGGGCCCTGGAGTTACTGTGGGCTTTTTTGTTTCAGTTGAAATTTTTCTTGAGATAATTGTAGATTCGCATGCAGTTGTAAGAAGCAATACAGAGACAGCCCTCACTCACTTTGCTCAGTTTTCCCCAGTGGTGACGTTTTGCAAAACTATACAATAATATGACAACCAGACGTTGATGCAATCCACTGACATTCAGATTTCCTCATTTACCCATACTCTGTGTGTTTGTGGTATGTAGTATGTGTATGTGCTTGTGTATAGTAAATTCTACACAATTTTATCACCTGTGTAGCTTCTGGTATCCACCACCACGGTCAGGACTCTGAACATTTCCAACATCCCAGGGATCCTTCATGCTGCCTTTTTAGAAACACACCCACCTCCCTGCTGGCCCTTTCCTGTACCATCCACCAGACCTGAGGATCGCTTCACTGTTCGGGGTGAGGAGGAGGGCTGTGGAAAGAGCTCACAGGGCTTGGGGTGGGCTGTGAGTCAGGGTGCCAAGTTTGGGGCTTGCTGCATGCATGTAGTCAAAGCTATGGTTTTTCCAGCGTATGGTTCTTCATGTACGGATGTGGCAGCTGGACCATAAAGAAGGCTGAGAGCTGAAGAACGGATGCTTTCAAATTGTGGTGCTGGAGAAGATTCTTGAGAATCTCTTGGGCAGCAAGGAGATCAAACCAGTCAATCCTAAAGGAAATCAACCCTGAATGTTAATGGGACTGATACTAAAGCTGAAGCTCCAATACTGTGGTCACCTGATGCAAAGAGCCGACTCATTGGAAAAGACTCTGATGCTGGGAAAGATTGAGGGCAAGAGGAGAAGAGGGCAACAGAGGTGCTTGCATGACATCCCCAACTCAATGGACATGAGTTTGAGCAAACTCAGGGAGATGGTGAAGGACAGGGAAGCCTGGCGTGCTGCAGTCCATGGGGTTGCAAAGAGTTGGACAGGACTGAGCAACCAAACAACAGGTTAGCAGATGGAATGTCCTAGAGAACAATGGGCTTACAAACCCAAGGATGAGGAGACAAGTCTGAGCTGGAGGCTGAGATTTGTTGGAGTCCCCACCTATCCTGGGTGAAGCTTCAAGTTTACTGGGGAGGCAGAGGAGTGGGAAGAGGGAACAGAGGAAGAACCAAGAAGAGGAGCCCCATCCCTAATATAAACCCCTTTTTTGGGTTTCTGCCCACTGCCAAAGGCCCACAGACTGGGTACCTAGTTTTCCAGCAGCTACCTCCTGCCCCCGGCCAAATCTGGCTCTTGCATAGGAAGCCCCGGGGAATCCCCTCAGGGCTCCCCGAGTCCACATGACCCCCTCCCTTTGTCTTCAGTGTGAGCCTCGAGCCAGGCAAGGAATGTCCTGCGCCATAGACATCCTTAGCTGCGTCGGGTTCAGGCTGCTGATCGCATTGCTAAAGGCCCTGCACTATAGGGAGGGACCTTAACGATAACTGAATCCAAAGCCTTTAATTTACAAAAGAGAGAAGGGATTCTCAGAGGTGAGAGACGATCTGCCGGAAGAAAGGTGGCTGTGCGTTGTCACCTCCAGAAACTGCTTTGCCCATCAGGAAAACCCCCGGAGAGGTAGATGACTGTTTCTGAACTCTTTCAATCAGCAGTTTTCATTGAGCATCTGTTAGGTACCAGGCAGCGCTAGGCTCTCGGCCTGCGGGGAGGGATTAGGCGCGGGCTCTACTGGGGATGGATGAAGACACCGAAGAGTTAAATTCCGGGAGTTCCGCGTGGGGCGGGGGAGGCAGGGGGAGTGCAGAGGAGTCTCCCAGAGGAGAAGGCCGCTCCCCAGCTTCTCAGGCTCCGGAAACCTGGGCGAGAACAGTCTAGGAAGGGCTGCCCCGTTGGCGCGCAGCCTCCTCCGCACAGCCCCTCTGGCCCCGGGAGCGGTCGCTCTCGAATTACAACAAAAGGGGCCGGAGGCCGGGCCTGCTGCGGCGGCCGCCTTCAGGGAAGGGGGTGGGTCCGGGGAGGGATTTGCCGTCCGACGCTGGTTAAAAGTGCCGGGAAAAGGGTTCAGGAGCCACTCCAGCCCACGGCTTCCTAAACTTGGAAGTTCACTTTCTTCAACCACCGGAGAAGTCGTCGGCTCGCCCTCCGCTCGGGAAAGGGGCTCCGCGGCGACGGGCGCAGAGAGGAGCCCCCAGTGGAGAGCCGGGCCCAGCCAAGCAGTGCGCACCACTTCTGCCAAGTAAGAGCGCTGCCTGAGTCGCCCCCGCCCCAGGGCGGTTCGCGCGGAAGCGGAGGTCTGGGTGGGGTCTTCAGGATCCGCTCCCCACGCGCCGCCTCTCAGCAGTGCGTGGGGCTCCCGGGACCTACGAGGCGGGCACACAGACAGAAAGCTTGTAGCTCGGAGATGCGAGGACTCGCAGGCTAACGGGACCCACCCAGTCCCACCTCGCCTGAACCCAGTTAGCCCACGCAGCAGGCGCGCCCCCGGGAGCTGGCCGCTAGGTCCGTGGCTCGCCAGGGGCGCCTGCAACCAGGCAGGACAGAGCCAGTCGAGACCCAGTGCGGGCTAGGTGCCTAGGAGGGCGCAGCGTAGGGCCACGGACACTGAGGGCTGCGCTGGTGCCTGGAATTCTGGCTTTTGAGGATGTGGAGCGCGCGGGGGGCTGGGGGCGCACTGGGGCGTCCCCTGAGCTGTGGCTTTGGGCATGTGGAAAACACTGGGTTGGGATGGGGGTGTGCGAAGGTCTGGGGCTAGGGCGCAGCCGGAGAGCCCTAGCGTCAAATGCCTGGAGTTGGTTTTCTCGTCAGCGGGCTAGAAAGGCTAGGCTGAGCGCTGGAGTGCGCGCTGAGTGCTTTGGGCAGAGAGGTCCGCTCCGCGCCCCAGGTAGCCATTCCTGGCCTGTCTGGGTACCAGGAAACCCCTCCCGCAGTTATCGCACGGAGGCTCTGGAGCAGAAAAACGCCAGCACAGACGAGTCCATGGATGGTACACGCAGGATCGCCTTGGGGCTAATTCTGGTTTTATGCTGAAACTCCATCCGTCTTCAGTGCCCGCAATTTACACGCAGGCGCTTTGCACACCTTCCTCCCCTCTACTCCCCCAACTCCCCACCCCCACCCGCCCCCCGCGCTCTCCCGACCCGACCCGCCAACCCCCCATCTGGAGCGCTCTGGAGTAGCTGCCTGCAAGAGCAGTCGCTGTAAATCAGCGCCGGGATAGATGATTGGAAAAAACGGAGGAATTCCTTCCTCCTAGTCGTCTCTCACCGGCCCCAGGAAAGACCACCGAAACGCAGCGGGGGTGGGGTGAGGGGAGGCGGCGGAACACCACCCGGGAGGGGACTGAACTTCTCCAGGCTAGGAAGCCTCGAGTCCGGATGAGAAGAGAGGTAAGAATCAAGTCAGAAACACGCCCCACGTTAATTTCTTCCACCGAAATCTTGGAACTGCGGAGATACTTCAAATCGGTCCAGTGGCTTCTTTTCTGTTCAAGAGAAAAGTGCTGAAGCTCAAGGCTACACACAGGGTTAGTGGGTGTGGAGCCTTGAATCCAAACCCCCCACTCCAGGCTCCTCGCCTACCTCACGGCTAGCCGGTCTGTCCCGGACCCTGAAAGACCATTTGTCACCCTTGGTGGAGTTACTTGGTTATTTATGGTGCATTATGTACTCAATGGTCAGGGCTGGGGCTTAGGACGGAGACAAAGTGCTCGCTTCCCTGGTCAGCTTCCAGATGAACGACGGACTCCCGGGACTCTTCCTTCGCTAAGTTGTTCCTTTCCCTCTGTCTTTTGTTCTGTTCCCCTTCCTGGTGCCTAGAATCCATCTCTGGGCTGGCCATCAAATCCACGGCAAATTGGGCTTCCCCGGTGGCTCAGCGGTAAAGAATTTTCCTGCAATGCAGGAGTGGCAGAAGCGAGTTTGATCCCTCGGTTGGGACGATCCCCTTGAGGAGGGCACGGCAACCCACTCCAGTACTCTTGCCTGGCGAATCCCACGGTGCGTGTGTGCGCGTGCGCGCCAGCATTTCTCTGTCTCTGATTTTGTATTAAAAAACTGATTTGGTCCAAGGCCGTTTGGTCGTTAAGCGGCAGAGTTGAATAGGAAACTTAGGTCTGAAGAGGAAGCATCCCCTTGATGTTACAGTCGGCTGACAAGGTGCATGGCAGATGGGAAATTCTGTGGAGATGTTTTCATATGTCTCCTTTACCGCCAGCCTCTTCACCTGGCCTCTCCCGGCCTTCTCCTAAGGTTTGCGCTCTGACAGCTGTATGACAGTGTACAGGCGCCTTGTACATGAGACAGATTTTCTGTGCTTTGGGAGGTGACCATTAGTGAAGCTGTCTAGTATCCTAGAAAATTCTACACTGTTTATTTAAAAATCATGGTTTTATTCTGAAAAATTCCAAACATAGACAATACTGGGAAAAGGCCCCCATATACTTCCCACTCAGCTTCGACAGTTATCCACATTTTGCCATGCTTACTTGTCTATCCCTTTCCAATTTCTATTTCACAGAAGTATTTTTTAAACATGTGTTTTTATTTGTTTGGCTGCGCCAGGTCTTAGTTGCAGCGTAGCTCTTTATTGGGGCTTCTCAAGTGGCCTTAGTGGTAAAGAACCTGCCTGCCAATGCAGGCGATGTAAGAGACATGGGTCAGTTCCTGGATCAGGAAGATCCCCTTGAGGAGGGCACAGCAATCCGCTCCAGTACTCTTGCCTGGAGAATCCCATGGACAGAGGAGCCTGGCAGGCTACAGTCCATGGGGTCACAAATAGACATGACTGAAGCAACTTAACACGTGCTCCTGAACGCATAATTGAGGCATGTAGGATCTAATTCCCTGACCAGGGACCGAACCCAGGCCCCCTACTTTGGGAGCATGGAGTCTTAGCCACTGGACCTCCAGGGAGGTCCATAGTGGAAGTGTTTTAAAGCAAATCTCAGACATACAATCCTTTCATCCCTATGCAGTTCAGTGTGACCTCTAAAAACATTAAGTAACCAAGATAGGTAAGAGTAATTCTTTGGTATCATCTAACACCCAGTCCATGTTCAATTTTCCCCCTAATTTCCACCCAAATGTCTTTTTTACAGTTGATCTATGTTCTGTTGATTTATATGATTTTTGTTCAAATTTTATATTATTCCTTTCAAACCACTTTTCTACCTCCTGTGTTATTTGATTCACACAACTTCCCACTGAAGAGCGAGGTGGGTTTTGTTGAATTCATTTTACAGTTGAGGGAGCTGGTCAGCAGAGAAGCGGTCCCGATGGTACAGCTGGTAACTGGCAGAGCCCAGACCTGACCCAGCGTCCTCCTTCCGGGGCAGCGGTGGTTCTGTTTCTCTGCGCTGTTCATGGAATATCAGCTGTTCTCTGACTCATTCATCCTGGCTCTCGCTTCATCCTGGGTTTATCACTTCCTATTCACCTGGTATCAGAAACCCCAGTGTAAATATTTAGTAATTGGCCATTTGGTGCTGGAGATAAATCAGCGGCAAAGTCAGGAAGCCTGGGCTTATTTTCCAGCTTATGGGAAAGCAACTCACCTCTGGAGAACTCAGGGTGGCCCCCTCTGAATTAAGAGCCATCATCCTTCCCCTTCTCAGGCTCCTAGTTCTGAAAGTAGGATGAGTGAAATGACTGGAGCCGAAATTCCTGGAAGAGATAAACAGCCCACGAAGAAATTTCATTGAGAACAATTACCCCTCACTCTTCTTTGCCCAAGTATTTTGGCCGCTGGCATCTTTAGCTGGAGATGGCTAAATTCTATGGCAACAAAGAGGCTCCCCTCTGAAGTTCTTCATTTATGGACAACTTACTTATTCTGCCATTGTCTGATGAGGCTAGAAGACACCAGAACTTTCTACTTTTAGCATTTTCACTACTTGTGTTTATTTGCTTTGGAAAGGAGTAATAACGAAGTCATTTTTACATCTTATTAATGAGATTCATGAGTTGTAATTTTCCCTCCTTGGCTGGCTGTGGGGGAAAATGGAATCTCTTATTTCTTGATGCCTATATTTTCTGCTGTCATATTCTTTGCCCTGAAATAGACATCAAATGAATAGACCTTCCACAATACAGCCCATTAGGGACCGAGAAACTGGTTGCTCCAGTCCTGTTATTCAACATAGGAACTCCAAAGGGACAGAGCATTACCTTTTAACCATGCTGTCTTCTGGCAGCTAACAGACTGTCTCTGTAGGGACAGTAAAATTTCTAGGTGATTCCTTGTCAGCAGCTGCTGTAGCTTTCTTCCTTTTGCAGTTTTGGGAGCTTTAGGAGGTACAGGTGTCCTCTCCTGGGGCTGCTTGAGTTTAGGAGGACAGCTTATAATGACTGTCATTCATCTCCCTCTGGAGAAGGGCATTATGATCAGTCCTGCCTAGGAGTGTCACACAGACCCATCTGGACCCCCGGGGTCCTGAGGCCTTGGATGAAGTGGCTGCACCCTGTCCTGCTCCAGACCCAGAGAGCCAGCAAGACTAACAATCATGAGCCAGCAAAGGGAGAGCCACGTGGATCCCAGAGCCACAGATCCGCAGCAACGCCCTACTCATCTTCTGCACCTCTGCCCTGTCTCAGTTGAAGTGAATCTTCAGATCTTCTCATCCCGGTCATTTCAGCTGTCCTTTTGCAGGAGGTGCGTGTGATGGGCAGGGAGCACAGTCCAGCCAGCTGTGCTGGCCAGTCTTCCCCAGCCACCTGTATCAGAGACATCTTCAGGCATCAGAACCAGACTCAGAACAGGTACTTGTTCCAGGGTGATAAAGCATCATGGTGACAGTTTGGATACGATGTCTGTCAGAGATGAATGGATAAAGAAGAAGTGGCACATATACACAATGGAATATTACGTACCCATAAAAAGGAATGAAAATTTCCTTTAAAAAGGAACTTTTTACCCATAAAAGTCTGTTAATTCTAGTGAGCTGAATGAACCTAGAACCTGTGACGTACAGTGAAGTAAGGCAGGAAACACACCTATGAATACACCTCTATTCTATATATTAGGGCTTCCCAAGTGGCGCTAGTGATAAAGAGCCTGCTTGTCAATGCTCAAGATATAAGAGACACAGATTCAATCCCTGGGTTGGGAAGATCCCCTAGAGAAGGTAATGGCAATGCATTCCATTATTCTGACCTGGAGTATCCCATGGACAGAGGAGCCTGGAGGGCTAGAGTCCATAGGGTCACAAAGAGCTGGACGTGACTAAAGCAACTTGGCACTCATGCTTTGTATATTAATGCATTAACATACCAGAGGTTCCTTGCATAGGACCCAGACTCCAGCTGTAGCCACCACATAGATTTATGTGAGAAAAATAACATAAATGAAGTCTGTTTAACAAAAA